TCTGTTTCTTGATACATACGTGCTGCCCTCTGCTGGGAAGAGAAGGGGGTGATATTTAAGAACAGTGTTGGTAAAAAACACCGTTACATTTCCTGTGTGATCCTCACTGGGCCACCATTTATTCTATTTGCAGAGTGACAGAAATATAAAATCTCCTGCTTAGACGTGTGTGCATATATTCAAAGTCATCTCTCTAATATTCAGCAACCTATGTCATCCCTTACACAAAGGTGACGTGCCCATGTTGCTAAAATGTTAATGAACAGATCAGCAGTGATGCACGGGAAAGATCCCTAGCTCTGGAGTCAGATTCTGTGACTTTAAGAAAGTCACTTAACCTTGTGAGTCCTAGTTTCTTCATCTATAATGGGGTGGTACCAATTGCTAGTAGCTTCTAGAGTCCTTTGAGAATTAAATAAAATATAATGATGCATATCTAAAGTATTAATAGAAACTTAATAAACAATGACTACTAACTACTTTGCAAAACCCATATGAAAAACAAGAATTATCAATACTTTCCTATCAAACCAGTTTATGTAGTCTAAATGTGGAGCCTAAAAACAGCATCCTAGGTATTAAAAAACAGAGTTGGGGGCCAGTATTGATGTTATAGAGCCAACAAAAATCTTGCCACTACTCAATGCTCCTCTTCTGCCAACCAGTAAGGGGCTAATATAGGTTATAACTTCAAGAATAAGGTCAATATTTTAAATCTGTAAAGGACTTTAAATCCTCCAGTGTGTCTAGAAAATATTCATCAGATGCTGAAAATCATTATTTCTGGCTGATGGGATTTTAAATGACTTTCTAAACTTCATTTTTGTAATTTGCTACAGTGGTAAAATTTTCAATAATAAGCACAGTTCATTATGCCACAAAAACAGTAACAAATATTTCCTGGAAATAAGCCAATCACTAGCCCCAGTTTCAATGGCTCTGCATTAGCACAATGGTTCTCAACCCGCACGATTTGTCTCCCCAGGGACATCTGGAAATGTCTGGAGACATTTTTGTTTATCATAATTGGGGGGGGGGCGCTATTGGTATTTAGTGGCAAAGAATGCTGCTGAACATCCTAAAACACACAGGGGACCACTACACATAAACGAAAGAATTATCAGTCCAAAATGTAAAATACTGCCAGGGTTGAGAAATACTGCATTAGATAGAAAAGAAATCCAAACTCCTAAGCATATTATATAGATTCCTGACCTCCATCTCCAACCTTTCCATCTTATGATTTTGCCTAACGTTTATTTTGGAGTCAATCTTAAATTTCTCATTAGTCTCGGGATACTAAGGCACTGGCTTGTTTCTGGTCACTCAGTAGCAGACCTGGAACTAATCTTGATCTCCTCTCAGTGTACTACAGCTGCTGAAAAAAATACTTCCTTTGAAAATGGACCTGAAGTTATTCAGGTGTCTCCTCTTCAAATCAATAAATACAGAATGCTTCCTAGGAGAGGCATACTGCTGGTGAGAAGGGCACAACGGGAAAAGTGAAAAAAACAAACAAACGCTATACAGTTCTTGCAGTTCTCAAGTCTAGTAAACATAAGTTACACACAGCACTTAGTCCTATGAGCCACACACGTACACACGTACACATATCTATGCATACGCACTGACATTTTGATGATACGGGAAAACAGAACATTTAGAGGAATGATGATGCATAGGTTAGGGGTAGAGAGTATGACGATGTGGATGAGAAAAGGATGAAGTCTTTTGACTAGGTAATGATGCTGCTGAGGTATGAAGATGTGGGATAGCTTCACTGGAAAGTGATCCATCCACACAAATAATCAGTTCCAGGTTATGTGATAAGTGTGACACAAGTAGGACAAGGCAATCAAATATCTGAAATTTCCACCTTCTGAAGACCAAAAAATCACCCAGAGAGATAAGTAGGACAAAAAGTTAGTATCAAGTCACCACAGCTTCACAGTCACAAGCATACAATTTCACTTAAAATGGGCAACTTCAGAAAAACACCCTCCAACGGCCACTCGTTCTGCCTAACACTTTAAAAACCAATTACGTCAGTTGGAAAATACAGTTCCAGCACTGCCAGTTTCTAAACTTTTATGCACAGTGAAATCAATATAATCACAGCCTTTGTCATCAGGCCAATAATTAACTGGTGATATTAGCATATAAGACTAGAGAAATTGATAACCTGTCCAGATTGAAAGGTGGATTGATACCAACTTGTTGATAAATCTATCAAGATTTACAAGTAACGGGATCCCTGGGTGGCGCAGCGGTTTAGCGCCTGCCTTTGCCCCAGGGCGCGATCCTGGAGACCCAGGATCGAATCCCACGTCGGGCTCCCGGTGCATGGAGCCTGCTTCTCCATCTGCCTGTGTCTCTGCCTCTCTCTCTGTCTCTCTGTGACTATCGTAAATAAATAAAAATTAAAAAAAAATTAAAAAAAAACCTTAAAAAAAAAGATTTACAAGTAACTATGAATTATGAAAATTCAAACAATACCTATTCTGTAAAACACTGCACAATTTATAGATATCTAACTTTTAAATCCTTGAGAATCTTGTTATTCCTTAGTATTTGCTTACAATTATAATTAATAATAATAATCTTAATTTCCTATATCAAGTAAACTAAGCACTCAGATCATCAATAAAAAATGTAATTGTATTAATGGCTATTCAAGTTTTAAAAATACTGAGGTTGTGCATTTCTAGGACTATGATAATTTGTTAAGTGTTTGAAAAGATTGACTTAAAAGCATCAGCTCCATGGTTAGAAGAGATAAATGAATATCCAACGTGATGGATGTCTTGAGATGATAATGCTAAGACAGCGTCACATCATTTGAGAATCACATGAAAAAAACTAGAGAAAGCAAGGCTTCTACAAATTGTGGGAACTAAAATTAAGACCCAAAATTATAATCAAGCAAAAAAGATTATTTTACCTTTTAATGATGACAAGTAAAGTTGACCTTTCTCTCCACCGCATTTTATTCTGTGACAAAGTTCAGGAAGCAGTTTTTTCCACCATAAAGTCTATCTTAGGAAAAAATGAATAAATTTTAAGTTTGATATATTTTACATTCAAATTTCCAATGAGAATAAGATTGTGCAGGAAAGCACAGGGCAAAAATACACTATTTTGATTAAGGCACCAAACTTTGTTACAACAGAAGTTATATCAGCAGCTAGTCTTCTGCTTAAATTATGACATAAATCAGGTCTGTAACTTGAAAAATCTAATGATATGTATGTTGTACATATGTACTTGGCTATTTTCAAGAAGAAACATAGACATGTCCTATTATCATCTCTTAAGTGACAGGAAGGAAGGAAGGAAGGAAGGAAGGAAGGAAGGAAGGAAGGAAGGAAAAGTGGGAAGGAAGGAAGGATGTGAAGGTAGGGAGGGAGGAAGAAGTACTAAAAAGTAAAACTCTTCTAATTTCTAAGCTAAGGACCCCATAGCCCAGAAAATATTTTCCCATCACATATTGTTTCCCAAATCTTCAGGTAATAGCCTACTTTATTTCCAAACAAGAAATTTTTAATGAAGATAGCATACAATTACCATACTTTTTAAGTCTCTAACAGTATTCAAAGCCCATAACATATTAAACATATATGGTCCCACCCAGACCTGTGAGGTTGGATTGATATAATTTGTCTCCGTTTTACAGATAAGGCAACAAGGCTATCAAATGTGATTATCGCTAATCAAACTTAAAAGACATAAACTGAAAAGCATACCCGATTCTCTTCTTTCAGTTCATGATTAGCATATGGAATGATGGCCTCTGGGCATCTTTCTAACAGTGTGTCTATACAGTGTTCATACTCTTTCAAACGCGTATGACACAGAACATGGACACTGAGGCCAGCAATAGTGTCTTCTGAGAGTGGCTCCAGGAATGGAATAATGGAAGCTATGTCAAATGAAGGACCACATATAAGAGACTATGAACAGAAAAGTGAAATGTTACGGAATGAGGCACCCAAAAAACTAAAGCACAATATACAGAATACAATTTTTTTTAAAAAAGACCAAAAAAAAAAAAAAAAAAGACCAAACATCACTTTCCAAAAAAAAAGGAAACAAAAAGATGAATGCAGTTTTAGAGCACATGCATACAGTATTTATTTATATGTCTAAGAGGACTGAAGTATTAAATAATCTTGAAACCCACCTCTAATTTAAAGAATGAAAATCTGTTTAATAGAAAGCAATTATTTCTAAACTAACATGATTTTAGTTGCTTTGGAAAGACTGCCAATGAAAACTAATGGGAATGTTTTAGGACTCTTTTTTTGTTGTTGTTTTAGGACTCTTATCCTAAGGAAATAATCAACAATGTGGTCAAAATTTATGTCCAGTGATGCTCATTTCAAGAGTAGTTGTAATACTGACCAAGTAAGATCTATGTTAAATAAGGAATAAGTAGATGACAGTACATTCATATGGTGGAATATTATATAGCCATCAAAATTATTTTCTAAGGCTAGTTAATGAGAAAATGCCCATAATAAAATGAGGAGTAAAAAAAATGTCAATACAAAATTATATTCAGAGCATGATCAGTTTTGTAAAATCTACATAGGTACATGCACATATAGAAATGCCTTTGGAAAAGCACTGAAATGTGAAACAGACCAGCTTACTGGATGGAAGGACAGTAAGACACAGGACACTTTCCTGTGTCTTCCAAATTTTCTATAATAAGCATGCACTGCATACATAACCCAAACTAAAATTTAACATTTAAGAAAACTAAAGCAATTGCTAATAACCTAATAATTTGTATCAATGCTATTTGCCACAAGCTGAAAGACATAGAGAAGGTAGTAGGTGAGTATTCGGGACTTTACTAATATTTTACTCTTAAACATTTAAACTAGAAACACTACTTTTGATTCTACCACCAAAAGATTCTCTGCTCTCCCTTTCTTCTGGATAAAGATGAGATGGTCATATCCTGACTCTTTCTTCTTGTATCCTTTTTACTACAGCATCTTCTCAGACGCATAAGAGGATCTGGAATGTGAACTATTCGTTTATACTCAGCGCGATTATTTTATTCCATGTATCTACCAAGGAATGGACAAGAGCATAAGGTTGGTCCCTTTCCTTCCTTGCAAGTTTAAAAATCACCTTCATCTGAATAATTTCCTGACAAGAGAGCAAACATGACCATCTGCCACTTGTAGGATTTCCCATGTGAAAAAAAAAAATTATTTCTATATTCAACTTTTGATTAATTTGGATCGTGGGGAGGGTAGAAAGGAGCAAGGCATGAGTAACCCAAATCATGGTTAAATGAAACTAGTAGAGGCTTGGTACAAAACTGATTACCCAGGAACTTTTACTTAGTTGTATCCATACCATCAAAAAGTTTAACAAAATAAGAAACACCAGAAAACACATATATCATTGAATTAAAAGTGGTCCAAAGGTTACTACTACTCTTGAAAATACTGTTAATGTTGTCTGCTTCTTAGCAGAGTGCTTCTTTTGTTTCCAGTATTGAAAATGGACTCCTTTCCACACCCAACACATACACTATTCATTTCCTTCTCTGATCTAGATCCCTCATCCTCAGCCAACGATGCAGGGCTAGAACCCACACTCTGTCTTCTCTACCTACACAATCTAAGGAGTGGTGATTGGCAAGGAAGGGGGACAGGAGACCAGGACAATTATGACAAAAGGCAGGGCATTTACTAGTTACTGTGTCTTTCCAAATAGCAGCTTTTTGACATGTAGATAATTTATAGATTCTTTTAAGTTTGGCACAAATACACTATTACAGTGATTGAGGACAAGAGACAGACACTCATCAAATCTGCGTGGTGATGGTGGGATGCGGGAGATAGAAGAATCATACAATTTTGGAAACGTTCTCCAGGTGATTCTGAACCTCCTATTCCTCTAGGTGAAAACAAATGAGATCTTTTTGTTCCTTGATGGTTATTTTTTACTTAATGATTAAGACTAATCAACCCACAGAGGATCTAGAAAGAGATACAATTAGGACAATAATTTCTTAAAGTATAGGTTGGTTACATTTCTATCTTTTAACAGCAAAGATTCCTAGAAGAATGCATTCTTTTTAACTACTTTAAAATGAACTTTTAAAGATCACCAATTACACTTTTTCAAGTAGTGATTATAAATATGCTTAGAAGCTTTATCAGGTGAGATTTAACAGGACTTGTTACAATTATGATCTTAAATATTTAATACACATAATCTGGGAGGGCAAGGCCCTGCCTGGCTCATCCAGTGCCACAGAACACATTCACAGCACACGTTTGAGGAATATTTGCTGAATGAATGTATCTGAGGCTAAGCCCTATGGAACCTCTGTACCATAAGGGTACTAGAATATACGGACCAACAAGAATTTTCTCTGGCAATATTTTATGAAACTCCATTTCTGGAGACAACTCAGGCCTGTCCTGTCTAAAGGCTGAGTCTAAGCAATATGGGCTCTTGAGCTGCTCTCCCTGACCTCATCCCCAACTTGACATTTTTGGTTTCTATAAACAGTAACCACACTTATACCAGTTCCCAGTGTAAATCAGAGGTTGCAAACTCAAAAACCTAAAGAGGCCAAAGCAGATAATGAAAATGAGTGAGGGCAACTGGGTACAAGAAACATGGACACCAGACATCGTGTCTGGACCAGGAAGACCGAGAGATAAGAACTGTGGCAGACAGGACAACCAGAGCACTGACCAGAGGGGAGCCACTAGTTCTCTCCAACTCTCAGGTCTCAGAGGCAGTGAAAGCCCAGGGTTACCAGTTCTGCTGAATTTTTCAAGAAAAACTTGAAAATCAGAATTCTTCATTTGAAATTTCAATTTTATTATATATTGGTACTACATTGGATAGACCAGACAAAGCAGGTGTGGGGGTTATATACTCAGTCCCTGGGCCACTGAACTACATTAAATAAAATCATACACATATCTAGCCCACCTTGTCCACCAAGTCAGAGAAGGACTTTATTTCTCATTTGTGGTCAAGACACTGTCACAGTCAGAAATCCTGCAGGATGATCTACATTTTCTGATATTTATTTATTTTTTTAAAACTCCTCCTCAAGGAGCCAGATAAACTGGCTACTTTAACCTTTCTATTAGACAGTGGTGGTGGGCTTGGGCTGGAGGCCTAACATGTATGAGTACTAAACAAACAAACAAATGCCATCAATAAAAACACCGCTAAATATTTGCCATACTTTCATTTCACAAAGTGTTTCCAAGCACATCGAAAATGAGGCAAGACAGTCATGAGACCTGGTGAACTCACTCTCTACAGGCAACAGAACCAGCCTTGGGAAGCTGCCAGCCCTACTCTCAGCAGTTTCAGGCTGAAGCAGGAATGTCCTCCAGAGCTCCTGAGTATGCCCAACTACGGATTTTGTCCCCCATTCTCAAAAAAATATATACCCTCTAGATTAACAGGACACCCAAGGTCTTGCCAGGTTTAAATCTGACACTATATTGAACGCATATTCGTAACAAAGAGACATTTTTATTTACCTGTAATTTTGAAAGGTCTTCTCTGTAACTTTTATCCACTAATGAATCAGATGATATTAAGACACTAACCCATGGATAGATTAAGCCATAATGACTACAGGCATTTATCTAAAATGTAAAAGAAATTTATCATAAGCAAAACACAACAAAACAAGATTCTCTTCGCCCATTTCACAAAGAGGAGGCAATTGCTAATCTTCCACCATGTCACAGAGTAAGGTATACACTTTTCTGGGAACAGGAAAAAAAATATTTTAGAAAATATTCCCCTGGAAAAGTCTCGGCCTTGCTGCTTGTCACTGAATAAAACTGCACCAAAAATGGAAAAGGAAAAAAAAAAAAACCTGCACTAAATATTTCCTTATATATTTTTAAATTTTTTATTTCTTTTTTATAAAGATTTCATTAATTTATTTCAGAGAGCAGGTGCCCATGTGCACATGAGTGGCAGGGAAGGGCAGAGGGAGAGGGAGAAGCAGACTCTTGGCTGAGGGTGGAACCCAATGTGGGGCTCTATCCTAGGACCCTGCGATCATGACCTGAGCTGAAGTCAGACACTTAACCAACTGAGCCACCCAGACACCCCAAGATCTCCTTATATTTTAAATTTTCAAATATTCCTAAGCAATAGGAATTTCTAGCAAAAAAAAAAAAAAAAAAAGCCAAATCTGCTTTTAAGCTAATTTTACTCAAAAAAAGTTAAGAGTAATATTAGATTTTTTTTTATTTCTACTATTTTCCTTGTTAGGCAAAATCTCTTCCATAAGTTTGCAAGATACTTCTCATAAAGGCCCCTTATTTAAGAAGTAGGTAACTTTTCCAGTGAACACACATTAGGTACAACAAAAAGGAGTAGAGGGGGAAGGGGACAGGAAGTGGTAAAGAGTTGTTAGGGCTCCTGCAAGGGCTACAGAACAGCTCTTCTGTGTGCAACTGACAGGAAATGAGTCCAGGAAAGGAAGTCTCTCTCCCACAAGCCTTCTGAAGTTCTTCTCCCACCATGAAGGTCTGCAAATGGGTCTTTTCTGTGTTCCACTTTGTAGCTATCCCCTGAGGGAGTACAGATGTGTTTTTGGGAAAGCTCCTCCCCTTTGCTTTGTCTACTGCGTTACCAATGTAAGTAAGTAATCTAAGAGCAGCAGGGGGCATTCTTTACAAAACAAAATTATTTAACATGCAAGGAATTTACTCATGGACGAGTTTTAAGTGTATCTTTAATTCCTGTCTATAAGATATCTGGTAATATAAATGAGGTCTGCTACTAAACCATTATAAATAAGAAGGTAAAGTATTGTAATGTGTAACGTATAAGTTTAATTTAACTTATTCTATTTTCTCACCAGATCCTCTGATGTTCGCAATGGTATGGTGTCAGGGGGCTGCCTCTTGGATAATCTCCAGATGTACTGTGATGTGAGCTTGAAAAAGAGTTCCTGGAGAACCACATCTGGGAGACCTGCTACAAGCTGAGCTTCCCAAAGGTCTACCAAGAGCTGAGGAATTATATCTTCATCCTTGCCACAAAGCACCTTGAAAACAATGGAACAACCCCCCATATCCCAGATAAATATAGTATTGATCAAGTTACACCTAGTCTGAATAGCACTCCATCGTGTGGGCAATGCACTTAATAATTTATCATTAGCATTAATGACAAGGGGAAAGTAGATTCAGATATTTGAACAGAAAATAGATTCTTGATGACATAAATGGAATTTTCTAGATACATTCTTTTAATCTGTACTTTTATAAATTTGTTATGGGTAAGTCTTTTTTTAATAAACAAATGAAAACTCAGTCTCTTGTTCTGCTTCTGGTCCCCCACCAATTTTATCGGCCTATCCAGAACCATTACATTTTGAAAATGACAAACCTTAAAAAAGGAATCTGCTTCTTCAATTCCAATTTTGTTGTTCTTCTGTAAACCCAGAACTGCAGCCACAAGCAGTCCAGGCTGAGTGTCCTTCAAGTGCGCTGCAAGCTCAGTTGGAACAATCTGTCCCTTTCTCTGGTGCATCAGTAGCCGAGGTTCCAGAATAAAGCCACATACCAACTTCTTCTTCAGATAAACAAGATATTTAGGATCAAAATGTGCATTGCAGTCATCTTGAAAATATATGCCACTGCGCTCAAGGTTCATGGTTAAGCTATTAATATTTCAATGTCAACTTTTTCTTTAACTACAAAGCTCTTGCTTTAAGGACATCGCTGTTAACTGTCTTTGAAGAAGTTATTAATATTTAAGCATCAGGATATCCTATTTTTTTTAATTTTTTTTAAAATTTTTATTTATTTATGATAGTCACAGAGAGAGAGAGAGAGAGAGAGAGAGAGGCAGAGACATAGGCAGAGGGAGAAGCAGGCTCCATGCACCGGGAGCCCGACGTGGGATTCGATCCCGGGTCTCCAGGATGGCGCCCTGGGCCAAAGGCAGGTGCCAAACCACTGCGCCACCCCGGGATCCCAGGATATCCTATTTTTATAGAGAGCCTTATATTTAAGTCTAGCTGTTTAAAAATAATATACCTTAAGAATATAAAAAGAATATATCCTAAGAAAATTTATCTTTCTAAAATTGTACTCTTCAAAAGGAAGAGCACACCTCAATGTTGACTTGCTCTCTTCAGCATAACAAAACATGTCATTTGCACAATGATAAAGCACTTCTGCTTTCTTGTTTTAGAAACTAAAGTGATACTGTGGGCATTTGATCACAGGCAACAAAACAGCAGTATAGGAGCACAGGATCAAATGTCATATTACCCGCTCCAAATCCTGGCTCAAACACTCACCAGCTATGTGATTTTGGACAACTCATCTCATTTATCCTCTCTTTGTCTTAGTTCCCTCATCTGTATAGTAGGTATAATAATAGCTTCTAACTTAGAGCATTGTTGTAAGAATTAGGTAAGATAGCATATGCAAGAGGGTCAGAATAGACCTAGGAAGTAATAAGTGCTCAATTAACATTACCTTTTAATTTCTTCCCTTAATGTTTAACATCTTTGGCACATGGCCCTACATGGGCTCTCTTTGAAAGAAAAACTTCCTCTTCCTTTTCTTTAATATATCATTCAAATACAAATGTTCCATCACGTAATTTGTAATTTTCCCAAGTGCAGGCCATTTCCTCAACTATTAGACTCCTAAGGCTCATGGTTAACTCACTTGCTGTACTTGAATACACAACACTCTATTCTGTTTCAGTGCACATACCATATCCCTCATACTAGACTAGACTGTCCCTTAGGGCAGAGCCTGTATATTCTTTAGTACCAAGTACTGTGCTCTGAACCTAACGCAAAGTTGAAAGGTCTTTGGATACCCATTGCTCCCACTGATCATTCTTATTTCTTTTCCATTTACCAGATCCAAAGCCCAAGCACTCCCACTCTGGGTCACTTCTTTTCTAACATTAAGTCTATTTTCCTTTATGACTAAGAAAAAATGAACTAGGCAGAGGCCAGAAGGAAACACCTCAGGACTACCAGGTCCTGTTTCATCCTGCTGTTAATACCAAGCAGGGCACTGTACCTCTGGATGGCTTTTCATTTCATTTCTGTGCATGTCAAGATCTCCCATTTTCAGAGCCAGCGCTGCTTTGGTCAATGTCACTAAGATCGATGAAAACCCAGAAGTATCCAGCTTTCTTAGATAGCTCATGGCAGTTAGAGGATTAATATTCTTCATAGAAGGACTACAGAGAATATGGGGCAGTTGCTTTGGCTCAGCCACATGGAACATTTGAACGACTTTTGCTGCTAATTCCTTTGTGAACATAAATAAGAAATAAAAGGTCAGTTAACCAACAGAAAGCAACAAAGTCAGGGGAAAAAAAAAGTGATACAAAGCCAAGATATAAACTTCCAAATAAGATAAAATTATAACATTTGGATTAAAAAAAGACAGAGTTCATGGTGATAATGTGGGAGACCTGAGATGACCTGAAGTGATCTCTTTGCTGAGTTATAATGAAGAAAAAGCAGTGAAAATATGTACCAACTTGTGGCTAACATTTCTAATTTTAACAGGAGTTCAAAAGAAGAGAATAATTTGATTAAATTACACCTAAAAGTCCATTAAAAAATTACAGCTTATTATAAAATATACTTAATGAAGTAATTTATACAAAAAAGTTTCATTTCTCTCAAAACCTTAAAACATTTGGGTCTTACAACGTCCAGCTTTATCTATTTGCGCTCAGTTCTTTTTAAAAATACATAAGGGGCTAAGAATAAGCCTAAAGATCACTGGGCCAGGATTTAATAAGTGAAGGTTTGGACATTTGGGAGTTTGGGAGAACCAGGGTTGTACAAAGGGCTGTAGATAAGAAGGAAGGCAAGGCCCTGGGTGTGTGTCATTCTTCTAAAAATATACTCCTGTCACATTGGGCAGGTCACTCAACCACAATGGACTATGTTCCTCCATCTATATAATGAGAAAGTAGGAGATGGTGATTATAAGTTCTTTTCTAAGCTATAATTCTAGGTTTATTAATGAAGAAAAGGACACATTCATTGCCTTTTAGGAACAGGAAAAAATAATACCAAAGAACAATATTTGGAAACTGACTTCTAAACAGTACTACATAAAATAAATTGCTAAAATGAAAAGTTAGGAAAGTTATGTATAAGTAAATAGAAAACTATATTAACTTCACTTAATTCTTCATCCAGGTTTTCATAAAGTGAATGATTAATGTAAAAGATTAACCCCCTCTCGTATTTTTGCGATCCATCCTCTAGTACCCAGTCTGCTCGGGTTAGAACTTCAGCCATGGACAAACCAGACATCTTATAGTAGGGCAAGGCGAGGTGGGAATACTGGGTGTCAAGCCTAAAGGGAAGGAAGTAAAAAAAACCCTCAAATTTGACATTTTTAAGCCTGGATGTCTAACATTTGATAATAAAACAGATAATGTTTTCCAGACGACATAAATCTCAAAATACTCTTCTACTGCCATTAGCAGTTGGAACAAGTTCCCAAGTTTTATTCTATAAAGTCATTCTAATTACAGTTTCTTTTTGCCTGCTTATAATTAAAAATGGAAAAATAATTCATAAGGTACATTTCAGTATTTATAATGTGGCTCTAAAATAATGGTATTGAGGGCAGCCCCGGTGGCTCAGTGGTTTAGTGCTGCCTGCAGCCCAGGATGTGATCCTGGAGACCCTGGATCGAGTCCCACGTCAGGCTCCCTGCATGAAGCCTGCTTCTCCCTCTGCCTGTCTCTGCCTCTCTCTCCTCCCTGTGCATTCTCATGAATAAATAAATAAAATCTTAAAAAAAATTAAAATAAAATAAAATAATAGTATTGATAGGCACAAAAAGTCTGTTTTATTAATTTATAATCATTCCCATGGGTCAAGTAAGCCTCTGAAATAATCATATATAAAAAAATCTATAAAGATCATTCTCAAAAATGAAAACCACTATTCATCCCAGTCCTTTTCTGAAATCATAAAAGCACTAACTACTAAGATTAAAATCACAGGCCATCCAACCAATATCTTTCCCTTAAGGCTAACAGGCAAGGGATCCCTGGGTGGCGCAGCGGTTTAGCGCCTGCCTTTGGCCCCGGGCGCGATCCTGGAGACCCAGGATCAAATCCCACGTCAGGCTCCCAGTGCACAGAGCCTGCTTCTCCCTCTGCCTGTGCCTCTGCCTCTCTCTCTCTCTGTGTGACTATCATAAATAAATAAAAATTTAAAAAAAAAAAAGGCTAACAGGCAATAAACTAGTAATAACAGCTGTTTCCAGGATTTTCATGGTCATGAGCATGTCCAGAAGGCCTGAAAGAAACTTAATTCCTAAATTAAGTGGAGGGAGACTCATGAACTAGAGATTCATAGTTCATCTAATAAATTATAACTCCTTGAAGACAGGAAAAAGTCATGGTCATCTTTGTAACCCCAAAGCTTAGCATAGCACCTGGCAAACGGTATGTGCTCAACAAATGCTTGTGGAAAAAATATTGAATAAATGAGCCACCTCCCCTCATGGACTCCCCCATTTATCAGGTAGCTACACGGAAAAGCTAGTACGTACACCCAAAGGTCAAAATGGCTTCTTTAACGAATTTCCAAGAAGCAAACCAACCTGCTATAGCAGTCTCCAAGGTGCCCACAGCTTTCTTTAAATGCTTCCAAAAGCTCTGCTTTTTCTCCAGGTTCCAACTGACTGGCATCCATCAAAGCAGCCCTTACTAACAGATGAGCCTCACTAAGAAGGTGGATGCAGCTCTGGGTTTTTGCAGTCTTGTAGGTATTACTGTAGTCTACCTGAAACAAAAAAAAAAGGCCAATGGCTAATACCGCTGCAGAAAGACACTCAAAAGTTTCCTGGTTCTTAAGAGTATCTATATATTCTGTTAGTAAAGTTCATAGACACATTATAATCTAAAAATTAAAAAGTGGTTATTTAGCATCCTGATAGGGCCTACCTGAGGTGTTCTTTTCCCCTACAATCCAAGAGTCAGTTTAATATATGATTGTAAACATTCCCTTGTTAAACAGTGCTAATCACTAGAAAAGGTATAAATAACATTGTAACACTGTTAATTTAGCAATAATTTGGTCATAGGTCGATAAGGCTAACAAACATATATGAAGAAGTTAACTTTTTTAAGTTCTGTGATTTAAATCTTTCTTAAACTCAGACTGAGTATCCTTCCTCTACTGTAGTTTCAGGTGATAAATTAGGTGCTACTTGGTCTATTTCTGTAACCCACAGTGGACTTATTAAAATTATCACTAGCTAATCTAAGTCAATCAGTATTTTCAGATTCCAGCAAGCAA